GAAGGCATTACACCACTTTTAGCTTTCATCAAAGCTGGAACGCATATAGTGTCAAAATAGCGCTTGATAAATTGTGCGTAATCTTCGCGCCAGTCCATCGATTGGGGCCATGTCTTTGTTATCATTTCTGCACCAGAAATCCCAAGATTTGCGGCATAGTGGCCTGTTATTAGGGACGGATCTTCCTGACTTTTTCTGATGGGTGGATTGTAAACAGCCGTCCCAGTATGATCCACATAGTCTGCTCTGCTGGTCGTTACAAGCATTCTGGTCCTGGGCATTTGCATTTTAATCAACTCCTTTTCCCTCTGTACTGGATCCATTTTGCAATTTTTTTTACTTTTGTTATTTATGTATTTTTTTTGTAGTTTTCTGTTTGAGTCTAAATTTCTGACTGATTTTGCAGGGAGCTGCACAACGAGCTTGTGCAAGTGATTGCGATGGATCTGGGCCTTGATAACGAGCTCTTCAACGAGCTGCTCTTGACGGATGTATGGCTAGTTTCCCTAGGAGGGGCCTTCGTCATGGCCAGCGTTTGGTTGTACACGGGATCGGCATTCATCACCTTAATGTCCTGTATCGCCATCTGCTTTTCCCTGGGACTAGCGTACTTTTTTTACGCCATCGTATTGGAGTTCGAGTTTTTCCCGTACATGAACCTTCTGGCCGTTGTGGTGATAATTGGCATTGGGGCAGACGATGTATTTTTGTTTCTAAAAATCTGGCATTGTGTGTTAGCTGAGAGGTTCAGCAATAGATGCACCACTCAATCCCAGAGTGCTCTTCCTGCGCACCTGGAGCACAGCGATCACACGGAGTCGTTGGAAAACATCATGGCGCTAACCATGCGACACGCTGCTGCCTCCATGTTTGTTACATCCCTTACCACCGCCGGCGCCTTTTACGCCTCTTACAGCAGCTCCATAACAGCCATTAAGTGCTTTGGGTAAGTAGATATTCATAGCTGAAAAAAACAAATTTTTTTTAATTAATGCAATTATTATTTTAGGATCTTTGCGGGAACCGTCGTGGTAACCAACTATTTGCTCATGATCACTTGGCTGCCTGCTTCAGTTTCCATCATGGAACGGCTCTTTGCTACCAGGATATCTTGTCGTCATCCGATGTCGCAGAAGCTGATCCACGCCTGCAAGAAGTCAATTAACAGATTTTGTCAGATGTTCGAGGAGTGCATAACGCACAGCATTATGAACTACTCCTATCTGTGGCTGCTGATCTTTGGGGCTCTGGGCGCGTCCAGTGCCGTCATTGTGTTCTGGTATCCAGGACTGCAGTTGCCGGAAAAATCGCACTTTCAGCTCTTCGTCTCAAGGCATCCGTTTGAGATCTATTCCAGCCTGAAGCAGCAGTTTTGGTTTGAAAAACCGTTGCAGGCGTACGAGAATTTCAAGATGCACATGCATTTCGTCTGGGGCATTCAGGCAGTGGACGATGGCGACTACACGAACCCCAATTCCTATGGCAACCTGCACTATGACAATAATTTTAATGTATCGAGCAGGCCAGCCCAACTCTGGATCCTTGACTTTTGCCAGAGTGTGCGCCAGCAACCCTTTTACAAAGAGACCCTGGGCATGCTGTTGCCCAACTGTTTTATTGAAAATCTTATTGATTATATGAAGCGCAGGTGAGCAGATATATTTCTATTGATATTATGATTACATTTTTTTACAAAAAGTATTTTCGAATTTTGTATGGATAAGATCAGGAAATTTGTAATAACTTTATAATTCATATATATTTCATTTTATGTTTATATCTTTGTAGAGGGTATTATGAATTCAGTCAGAGATGTTTGTGATCCTATAAAGTATATATATTCTTAATCAATATCAAAAAATCTGTCAATCTGGCCTTGTAGTCTGTCTGTGCTAACTTTCAATCTTTGAAATGACCTACAAAGGTGTATAAATTGCGGCTTCCCAAATTAGCTTCCTCAATGGTTTTTTTTTAGAAAATTGGGAACTCAAAAACATTTTAAATTAACCTCTTCAAAAATTTTAAGAATCCAATTTCAAGAGGCTTCATATACGTTACAGGTGTATCGACGATATGGACTATACAAGGAAAGATCGCTCGCCATGCTGCGATGCCCAGTTTCCCTTCGATCCTCACATATTCGAGTATTGCTTGCCACAAAGCATATCCAACATGTATGACACCACATTTTTCCGGCCTGGCGTGGCAGGACCCAAGTTTGCAGATGGTCCTCGACTGGAGACGGAAGATTACCTAGGGATGGGTGGAAATGAAAGCACTGAGTACGGCAGCAACGGATCATCTACACCGCTGTTGGTCAAAGCCCTGGTCATCGAGTTCGAGTCCAATGTAGCCTACAGCACCATCTACGCGAATATTAAGCAATTCTACGAGTCTGTAGAGAATTGGTTTCAGCATCAGTTGAGCACGGCACCTCCGGAACTTCAAGGAGGCTGGTTCACCAGCGATCTGAAATTCTACAATGTGCAGGACACACTTTCTCATGACACCTTGGTTGCCATTTGTCTGGCGATGGCAGCGTCACTTGCAGTGCTGCTTTGCTTTACGGTCAACATACTGATTTCTATTTACGCCGTATTAACCGTATCGCTGAGCATTTTCAACACCGTGGCGGTGCTTATCCTTCTGGGCTGGCAGCTCAATATTTTGGAGAGCATTGCGGTGAGCACAGCCATCGGACTGGCTGTAGACTTCAGCTTACATTACGGAATTCACTACAGGATGTCTCCAGTAAAGGAGCGTTTGGCAGCTACTCAGTTTGTACTGTCCCGCATCATTGGACCCACGGTGATGGCGGCTACCACGACAGGTCTGGCCGGCGGCATCATGATGGCCTCCAATATTCTACCCTACATACAGATCGGCGTCTTCCTGGTCGTGGTCATGATCGTAAGCTGGTTCTACGCCACATTTTTCCTGATGAGTCTGCTGCGCGTGGCCGGTCCGCAGCATGGTTTTCTGGAGCTTAAGTGGCCTCTGTGGAACAAGCGGAACAGTTCCAACAGCAAGTTCTATGAGCGGTAAGATTTTGATTGCATTGACAATTAATTCATTGAAAATTTTCTTCTATTTTGGGTTATAAGATTATATTTTAATAATTTATTAATAGAAATTAGTAATTGAACTTTAGTTATATAAAAAATAACTTTTAGACACATAACTTACAAGATTATATTGCTCATTTAAGTATGCTCTGCTAGTTACATTCATAGGGGAGAGGTCTGTAGGTTGAGACGGTCTGTAAGTTGAGACACTCAATTTTCTCAAAACTTATCCACTAAAAAAATTGTTTTTATTTTTTTTTGCAGTCCTTTTTAGTGACAAAACTTTTGGAGAAAACATTAGAAGCCAGGCTCTAGCCAGATTAAAGCTTTGAGAGTCGTGTACCATTTTTCACCAAAAAAGTTGTTGTCTACTTTTTTCAAAGAGATTTAAAACCTTAGTATATTAACTGTAAACTAATTAAAAAAAGAATCATCTTAATGTGACAGTTAGAACAAAAATTATTAATTTTTTCCCGAAACATCCCATTTTGTGTAAGTTAAGACACTTTGAGCGTGGAAATTGAGACACCCGTTTTCATACAAAAAGGCCTTAGGCCACTCTTCTAGTACATACATACATAAAATGGAAAGCTTGAACAGGTTAAAATAAATACATTTTGTTTTTAATAATACAATATTTTCTACTGCTACGTAGAATTGTGTGCATAGATTTGTATCGCGAATTCGGTTTCAGCTCCGAATTCGATTAAAGATTTACCTCAGAGTTTTAGTTTCTCTTTTCTTTTTATTAAAACGTTTGACTTTTTTCTGCAGGAAGCCCAGCCAGGTGATCGCAAGCGAGCAGTTGCTGACCCCCACCAGCTCGGCCATCGTGGAGCTGGCCAACTCGGAGACGCACGAGCTGGAGTCCCTGAATTCCAACAGCCTGATCAAAACTATTTCCGGCGCAGAAAGCGCCCACGCACTGTCCTCGCTGCCGAGAGACTTTGAGCACTCGTTTCAGACGTTACACGAGTGCAAATATCAAACGTATCCGTCTACATCCAATTGAGTTAGTTACTATTGCCGGCCAGAGCGCGTTGTTGTTGCCAGGGTAAATCAGGCAACTGCATTTTTATACAGGGTAAGGCGGCATCGAAGCCTGCCCGAGATACATTTATATATACATATACAAACCAGGTGTCGGCATATTCAGTTTTAAAATATGCTGGCCGAGGCATATGTACGTTGTGTGAGTTCTACATTGATATACCCTAGATATATGTGTAATTGTACTTGGTAGACTTAAGCAAAGCGAAATCTTGTAAACTCTCCATAGTGTGCTATTTCCAAAAGACTTCAGACGGTTGCAATATGCTTTTTTTATTTTTGTTATTGCACGTTTGATGCTCCAGCCAAGTGAATACAATTTGAAACTGAAGCAATTAGCGGAGGTACTGGGTACGTCTTTGTCGGTAGGACTGTACGATGACGGTATTATTAGTTTTTAGCCAAACGTTTCAACGCTGTTTATGTACTTAACTGTAATCAAAAGTATTTATACTCTGGATTTTTATTAGGTGTTAAGTTGGGCCGCAATGTTGGCGCCAGCAAGATGTAGTTACTTTATATGATAGTTACAAATATGCGCAGAGATATGTGTTGTCTATCCTAGTTGTATGCGTTCAAAACAAAAACACAAAGCAAACATACACACACTCACGTTTGTAATAACCATGTAACTGTGATACAGAAGGTGAGAAACTTAAAGAAATCGGTGTTTATACAGACATAGTGTTATAATTGTAAACCATGACGTATTGTAAAATTACCTGCAACTAAAAGGCCCTGTACTTCCTTCATTGAACTTATGTGTTGAAGTGATTTAATAAATGTTACTTGTAAAACCACTCTAAATAGGTATGTTCTACAACTTTTATTTTTTAACTTTTTCTTTATTAACTTTACGTGGAAATATTTTAAAACTGCGAATGCTTATGGGAGTCATATGTCTCCCGTACTGGGAATATATTTATTTATTTTCTCTGTTTAAACCAGATGTTGAATTGCGTTTTCTTACATCAATCCGTACTTACGTGGAACAACTTCATATTAAACACAATGTTTTATTGCTCCTATTTACTTTCATTTTCGAATGGCTGATGAAACTTACTCGGTAAAATTTGCGCAAAAGTTTCAATTCCAATGGAACCTCTTTTAAAAGGATTCACCGATAGGCTTGATGGTTAGCTCATGGATCTGCACATTGGGAGGCGTTTGGATGCAATAAGAAACTGCGTCAGCAACATCCTCAGCACGCAACATAGGGAAGTTTGGCATGATCTCCTTGATTTTTTCATCAATGATCTCTGTGTCGACGGCTCCAGGGCTGATGCTCTACGAATGGATAAATATTTGAATTAACCATTTTTATTACACGAAAATCTAATCATAGTATTTAGTTGGCCAAGAACCATTTGGATCGCACAAGCCAATTAGCTAATTGCGTTAGAGCCCTGGACCACGAAAATGTTTCTAATATTTTTTTCAATAGCACACTTAAAATTTAATGATTTTTTTTATAATTAAATTCTTTTTTTTATTAGTTTTTTTTTTTGTTTTTGTAGCTTTTTAATAGCACTTAACTAGTTTTTGTACACTCATATTGATCGGTATTGCAAACTTAAACTTTGACCTATTGAAACACAAACTTGCTAAATGTTGGACATTGAAGCAAAAATAAAAGATAAAATACAAAACACTTTGACAAATTAAAAAACATTTAATTGGCTATCAATTTTAACTGTAAACTGAAGTAAAATTCAACGCTTAGTAATAATGTGGATACGCGCATGGTTATTATATAAATTATTTCTAGGAAAAATCGAGTATGGTCATATAAGAATAATAGTCAACACAATCCTCTCCTTCGGGTGTTCAAAAATCACCGAAAATGTTATTAGGTAAAGTGCATTGTAGTTGGCTTTGTGTGAGGGCGTAAAATACACCTTTATCTGGCATTAAAATGTATAGATTATGAAAATTTCATTTGTCATATACATATGTATTTTTATCATTTCTGATATTGTTATCTGAATGACTTTGTTTCTGGGAGAATATTTTCGAACTCACTGTAATCTTGGTCTGCGTCTTCTTTTGCTGGAACTCCTGTCGCAGCACCTCCACCAAAGCGGTGACCGCAAACTTGGAAGGGGCATACATCTTGAAGCCGAATCCCGGCATAATGGGAATTTTGTGACCCACAACGCTGTTGATGACCACCACATGGCCATCGGTGACGTTGCGCTTCTGCTGTGACCTAAAAGCCTCGCGGGCGCACCAGACGAATCCCAGGACATTGGTGTCCAACACGGATCGCATGTCGGCGGCATTGTCGGCATCCGTGATCAGGGAACCGGTGGTGATACCTGCATTGTTAACCAAGACGTCCGCCCCTCCCAGCGTCTCATCTATCCATGCAAAAGCGTCGACCACCTGCTGCTCCACGCTGACGTCACACTTGCGGCCATGGAATCGAGCCTGCTGATCCGCTGGCAGGGATTCCTTCAGCTGCTTCAAACGCTCCTCCCGACGGGCCAAGCCCACGACGACCAAACCCTTCGCAACCAGATCCTTGCAGCAAGCAGATCCGATGCCGGAACTTGCCCCCGTCACAACAGCAACGCGATTTGACCAACGATCCATTTTAGCTGATGTTGTCTTTATTATTCTTCTTGCCAGGTAAAAATTCCGTCGATAACTGAAGCTCTCGCTCAAAAAACCTCACATTTTATAGGCACCACTAGCTTTTTCCATTGAGTGAAAGCTCAATATTTCGCTTGATTTAAGAGAGTTACTCGATCACAGAAAAGATATCGTTCTAACTTGTCATGATGAAGAGAAGATAGCACAAGACCCAGAAACTTCTAAGTCTATCAGGCTCAAACGATCAAAAATCAACAAAATACAAATTTCTAAAGAGAAAATAGGAGCGAAAAAAATCGATTAAAGGTTGTAGTTTCATTTTAATAAACATTTATCTGGAATCTGGATTATACATATTGTTGTCATAAAAATAATGAAATAAATAATTTCACGTTATCAACTCACTTTAACATAGCAAATAAATACAATATAAGGGCCCACCACAATATTATAACAAAGTCTTAATTTAATATAGTTACGATTTCGGAAAGTAATGTTTTTCGTCACAGATTGTTTTGTCACTACCTCAGTCAATCATCCCAATGATATTATTATTTTTTGCTGATAAGAGAGTGAGCTTTTAATTGTTTTATAGGAAAAGCAAGTCATGCTTATATTGATACTAAAATAATTCTTTTAATACGCTACGCTAAAGCTTTTGTGACTTCATGCACATTTTTATACCTTTGCAGAGGGCATTATAATTTAAGTCAGAAGTTTGTAACGCAGGAGACGTTTCAGACCATAAAAAGTGTATATATTCGGGATCATATATATATTCTATATCAGTCGATATAGCCATGTCCGTCTGTCCCCTTATCCGTATGTTTCCATACCGTTTGCAAGCTCAGTTCAAAAGCAAGAAATCTGAAACTTTTACAGTCGTGCACAGTGTTTAAAACAAGAGATAGTCGACTACCAGATTGCTAAAAGAAATGCAAGTGAGATTCCATAATTTGCTAATAACTTTTTAATGAATTGTCCGTTTTGAAAAATTTCTTCTACATTTCGAGAGGTATTAATAAACACAAGAAAATTGCATTTATTTGCTTCCAAATTTGTTAAAGATGTGTGACACCTTTTAAAACGTTAAAGGCGTAACGCTCTAATAAAACAAACTTGCGCTGCGTAGAAACCACAAGAATCTGCAAGGTGAATCACAACTTTCTACCTTTTATAGTTTTCGAGATCTCAGCGTTCATACTGACAGATAGACATACGGAAAGACGACCATAGTGTTGGTCAAGAATATATATACTTTATGTGGTCAGATACTTCTCCTTAACTGCGTTGCAAACTTTTGACTAAAGTTGTAATACCCTCTGCAAGGGAATAAAAATTTCTTAGAAAATATGCTTTTTACTTTTTCTACTTTTACCCTAGATTCTACTAAAAAGTTAATCGCTCCCTCACCCGTCTCGGGCAAAATACTATGCAGCAATGGTTTTCAAAAGTATGCTACCAAAAAATTGCCCTGTAAAGCCCCTCAACCAAACTGGTCGGAAGTGACAATATTTGTTTAGTTTATTTAATAAGTCAATTTTGCCATATTAGTAAAATGTTATTAACTCAAGTGCATTATCGCTGTAGTCGTATGGTTAACAGAGGTGCGTTTAATGCTTGCGAAGTGTGTAGCGATCGATTGGTCCCGATGGCATAACTCCGTCCTTGGCCTTTATCAGCGCAGGGAGACATATGGTGTCGTAATAAGTTGTAAGATTGTACTTGGTGAACAGTTTGCGCATCTCCTTTGCGAATTTTCCAATGTCTATCTCCTTGACAACTGACCCTGGTTCAGGAATAAGGTTCGACTTAAACGGATCCTCCTCCTGAATGCGGTTGTGATAGTTGCCATAGGTCGTTTGATAGTCGATGCCATCCGCATCAGGTCGCGTCCTTTGCTTGCGCTGGCTTTTGAGCGATTTGTAATGGTTGGGGGAGTAATCGGAGGTATAAGTGGTTCTAAGCAGATCCTGCAGATATTCCTTGATTTGGTAGTAGTCGACGGGTGGATGCACAAAGAAAAGTTTATATATCTCCTCGTTGCACCACTTGTTGCGCTTGACGAACTGGGCGTACTCCTCGCGCCAGTCCATGGATCGTGGCCATGTCCTTGTCTTGAGCTCCTGTCCCCGAACCTTTAGATTGTTCGTGTAATGACCGGAAATCAAGGCAGGATCTGTTTGCTTACGAAACGCGGTGACGGTTCGTTTTGGCTTATCGGCCGTGTAGTCTTTGTAGAAAGCTTGGGTGGTGGTTATGTCCTTGCAGCACCTTGGCAGAATTGTGTCCAGAAAAATCAAATCCATTTCCGCCAACGCGGCCTCTTTCGTGCTCTGGGCCATTGTGGATTAATTGTTTTTCGGTATTTTTTTGTGTTTCTGTATTTTTGAGTGCTCCAGACAAACCGTCCGCTTGGTTAAACAAGATTTACTTATGCCAAGCTACTGTGTAGGAGAAGTGGAGACATGATACTTATCACTGTGGACGGCAGTCCACGTAGTGACGAAGCGCACCAGGAGAGTGTGCGAAGACGACAACTATGATATAGCCGCAGAATTGAAAATATGCTGTGATGGTTAGATCATACGATACCGATATTTTTGAAAGTGTATTTAATGACGACTGTAAAAATATTTCGTCACAAATGTTGATATCAGAACTTTTGTATGTTGAAGGTGCGATCGTCACTAGTTTTTTACCCCGTTAGGAGGTGTTTTTACTTGATTATAATTCATAATTAATAGAATTAAAAAAAAGAATGCAGCATATATCTCACTCTTAAATTGAAAAACTATATTCTCGATTAACCATTGAGTCAGACAATTTTAGTAGAAATATTAACTCACATTTCGTAGCATTGTCTTGGAAAATATATCACGATATTTTTGAAGCACGGTTTAAATGCAATTTATACTTCATTTAAGCATGGTTTAACGAAAAAGCCAATAATTTGCTCAAAAGTTGTTGCATATTTCTGGGGATTTGGTTAAATGTAGATATTTGGTAAATAAGTTTAAATTTTGTTTAAAAGCCTAAACGTCCATTTCCTTTTTAGCATTCGATTTTGTAATAAGAGCGATTCTTTTGTCAAATCTTTCTATTAAGGGGGAAAGTAAAATTACAAGGACCGCAAAAAATGTATTTCACAATTTTTTATTTTAGTGAATAACGAAACTAACTTTCTTACCACTTTTCATATATTTTAAAGCATTATTAAACTGATATAGAAAATGTATTAAAAAGCCAAGATATGAAGTGGAGGGACATAAACTAAAAGTCAAAGCTTACAATCGGCGCGCAGGATTTTTAAGAAAATCAAACTAGTGTATTTTAAGTTTTTCGGACTTGCATTCCAGTACATTCCAATACAAAAACTTTGCCTCTCCTAGCGTTTGTATATGTTGACCAGTGAAAAACATTTTTTTAATTGTAACATAATTATTATTACTTACTTTTTGTTTAAAAATTAACAGGAAACAATGTAACAATTGAGTTCAGGCTTACAAAACTAACCAATAAAATACTTGCATATAGACCTTAGACATACGTTAAGGATCACTACGGAATCAAAGGCACCATGAAATACAGCGTCTGCTTCCTAGTTGCGTTTGCCGTTGAGTCGATCCTGGATCTCCTGCAGACTTAGGCCCTTGGTTTCCATCACAACGAAGAGGACAAAGAAGAAGGCCACCACCATGCAGACGGCAAAGAGCCAGAAGGCGTAGTAGGAACCCAGGGCATCCAGGCTGGGATAGAAGAAGGTGACCAGGAAGCCTAGGGTCCAGCAGGTGCTGGCCACCACCGAGGAGGCCGCCGACTTGATGTTCGCCGGAAACATCTCGCCAAGCACCGCCCACGGAAGCGGTCCGAAGCCCGTGCAGTACACAATGTTGTAGATGATCAGGGCAGGAACCGGCATCCAAACGACGCTGGAGATGTCCTTTTTGACCAGCTGCATATAGAAGAATGCTCCCAGGGCCGCCAGTCCGATGGACATCACGCTGGAGGACGTCAGCAGCATCACCTTCCTGCCCAGGCGATCGGCCACCAAAGGCGTTAGTGCCGAGGATCCCACCTGGACACACCCGATGATAATGGTGGCGATGGCCGGATCCAACCCAGTGTTGGCACTAGCGAATATCGATTGGCTGTTGAAGAGCACCACGTTGATGCCCGACAACTGCTGGAAGCAGATCAGGCCGGCGCAGATAAACAGGGCCCTTCGGTTGCCAGCGTTCTTGAACAGGTCCATCATAGTGCCCTTGTTGGCCATCGCCTCCTCCACATTGGCCTGGATCTCGGCCATCTCGTCGTGCACGCCCTCGGCACTCTGGCCGCGTAGGTACTGCAGCGACTTCAGGGCCTCCGACTTGCGGCCTTTTCCGGCAAAGAAATAGGGACTCTCGGGCATCAGGTAGAAGACCAAGTCAAAGATCACTGGCACCACAATGCAGCACCACTGCAGAGCCTGATATGAAACATACGGTCCAATGGCATAGACATACAGAATTCCAGCTGAGGAAAAAATTATTATTTAATTTGGATTGTTATTATACAATAAATGATTTTTTGTTTGGCTGTTGAGCCATAAAGATATAGATATTAACTATATTTAAAGTGGATTTAATTTGATAATATGGCACTGCCGCTAACACAGTCTACTCACCCACAATGAAGAGCTGCATCAGGGATCCGGTGGCACCGCGCACATTGTCCGTGGAGATCTCACCCACATACATCGGCTGCACGGTCATCACAAAGCCGACGCCGAATCCTTGAATCAGTCGAGATAGGTAAAGGATCCACACCTCGGAGGCCACCATGTTTAAGCCGAAGGCCAGGACGAAGAAGAGGCTGCTGGACAGGAGCACCCACTTCCGACCGATGCGGTCGGCCATCGGACCGGCCACAAACGGAGCCACCAGGGCTCCGACGGCAATTAGGGAAGAAATCCAGGCATCTTCATCGGAGGTAATGGGCCTACTCAGCGGCGAGTCTGATGTGTCCTCGGCCTTGAGCTTGGGTCCGATTGGGGAGGTCCATCCAAGTGTGGTGCCCACCACAAATGCGGATAAGTTGGCTAATCGAAAAATGGAAATTAAATAATTTTAAAATAAATATATTGTTTTTAGATTTATCAAATTATATTTATGTATGTTATGTTTATGTTTTCACTTTTCTGTTCTCATTTAGCTATAGTTTTTCAAAATTGTATGAACAAAATAAATGTATTTTAATTGTGTTCAATAAATGTTAAACTATTAAAAAGTCAGTAATTATGTAGGCATTCATCACAGAAACGACCAAGAAGTACATGCCTATTCAAGACACATAGTTTTTGGTTGTTCCTTTAAATTTAAAATATTTTAAAGTGTGTTTTACTTCATTTTAAAATAACAGTTTTATAGTTTTTTACTTTAAAGAATTATTAAATATAGTAGCAATTGTGTTTATGGTAGAAATAGATTACTCACCTGCCACGGCAGCCAGAAAAATTCGACCCGACTTGACGGGTTCGGGAGACATGTTTCGAGTGTTTCCTTCACTTATCTGAAACGTACTGACTTCCGTATAGGAATACGCCACTCCGCTCACTTCCTCGCGGTTTACTGAGGGCATCTGGCCGACTTAAAGTGTACAGAAGCAGCTGCAAGAGCGTAAGAGTAAAAAAGCGAAAGTCCCTCATTAGCAATTCAGTTGACTTGGATTAATGATGCTATCCCCATTTGTAATTCAATCGGGTGTAAGTTCAAACGGCCAGAACTTGACACTGCTTTGATTTCTTTGTTGCATGACTCACGCGACCATATGCGAGAGGAAGCCAAAAAATTCTCATCATTTTGTCCCCATCCATCAGGAATTTATCACATTATCCGCCAATTTTCAAATCATGGCGTTATCGAATCATTAGCCACTAAAATCTATACACATCATTTGGAGTTCATAATACAGCAAAAAGTTAAGCGAAGGCGGAACTGCAGTCTGTTCATTACTTAATGCGATAAATTACCAAATTATTTTAATTGCACTATGAACAATTTAATTCTGTCGCATTTGCGATGCTAATTAATTTATTTATTTGAAGCTGCTTCTGTAATCACAGGTGACACTTTTCGTATATTTGTGTAATCATTACGTAACCAAGTCAGTAGTAGGGGAATTTAATCACTTTGGGCACTACAATTATTGGCTGTTCACGTTTGCACATCCTTACAGAAAAAAAATCCTTCAAAACGAAGTAAATCCCACTCGAGCAGGATCCGTAATTAAAATTGAAACGATGGGGCCTCCCTGGGGAACTGCAATGCTGCTTGAATCGGCGATTCGCGCGAATTTAAAGATTTTCCACCTTATATGGCAGGCATTCAAAGGCAATACACGTCCAATAATGCTCACCGACACTCGACTTGACGAGTGCTCTTACACGTGTATTATCTTATCAGGGAAGCGCCTCCCGTTCCATGTCAGGCCCATCTATAGGCTATAGGAACAGCGAATAGTGTGTGCAGTATCATCGGAGCTGCCTTCTCCCGATCGAAACTCTCTCTGTCATTGGCATCGGATCGGAATCTCAATATTTTTGTTGTGCCTTGTTTTGGTCGGAATGGCGCTATTTGTGTGCATTTTGCACTTGAACTGGCCCATATACGTATTCCCACATATGTAATGTGATAAGGGGTACAGCAAAAACTGTGCCCCAATCTCAATTTGTTTGCAAAGCCGACCCGCCGGCAAAAGGGCGACCGGCCCACTTCAGTCCTGGTATACTTAAAAAAATTTTTTGGTGTCCTAGTTTAGTAGAAAATTCTGTTTTGAATTTATTTTTACAATTTTATTTTTAATACTAACAAAAAAAATGAAATAGATTTCAATAAATGACTGAAAAAATATATTTTAAAATATTCTTTTTTTTTTCTGTGTTAATATATAATATGTGTCCCTAAAGGGCAGGAAATAACAAACCCCCAAGTGGACTCCCAATCTTATTTCTAAATAAAAACGAATGTCATCGAATGCGTAACTAAAGTTATGATTACGATTGGTAATTATTGAGTAATTTCCGATGCATTTTCACGGCACTGTCCTTGGAATTATTTAGTTAGTTCCAGATCAAAGATGGTGACACAATTTCTGTGACTAAGGTGAGACACGTGAAGTGTGTGTGAGAGGCTCTTGGAATAGCGCCGATTGTCATATCTACCTGGGGGTAGTATCTCAACAAGTTAGTGGGTAGGGAACACCTGTGCTAGCTAAATAAAACACTTAAGATTGATCCTCCTATTGCAAAATTTCATTTGAAATTAATCCCCATTGTCGTAATTATTACGCAACGTATTGTTTTAATTGTTTTTGACTTCCTAAAAGGTGCAAATTAAAACCGTAAATTTGATAAAAGAAAAATTCAAATATATATTTGCTACGTGCGTTCTTTATTTATGAACCTTCTTGAGAGAATTCCTTCGTTGGGAATTTGGCAATAACTCAATCTGATTTGTTTAATCTCCAAATCGGTTCAAGTACCTAGAAATAGATTGTTTATATTCATGTCGATAAGCTTTTCGAATGATTCGGACACATCATTTTATTAACTTCTTCCTCTGAAGGTTATCTAATGGAATCTCCCAAGCCAACGGAAGTTAGTTTTTTATTTAAAACTTTCCGTTGTGCCACGGCGTTTTATTTGTTTATTTGTACTTGCTAAAAAATGTTTTTAAATAGTATTGTTCTTTTTATATTGTTCATATTTTTAATGCCTTTAACCTGACATAAAAAAAGGGTCGTTTAAATTGTTATCAGGCTGAGAATACTACCTTCTTTATTTTATAAAGCAATGAAACGAGTCGCATCTGCTGTAAATTATTAACACACAGACACAAATTAATATTTTAGTGACTAGACAGACAATTTGATAAGACTTTATTCCAGCGGTTCCAAAATTAAGTGTTTTTTCTATTGATTGAGTAAATAGAGATACGATTCCTTATGTTGACAACGTACACAAAAATATCTGTCATGATATGTTGGGTAACAGCCGTTGATTACCAAATAAATCGTGAAGTTGGCTTTAATCTTTGAAGGTTTTTACGTTTTTCACTGGTTTAGACTTTTTGTTGCAGGAAATTCTTATTGAAGGTATTGAAAAGTGGTTCTGTCCATTTAAAACTCGAATTTCAAATATATTTTTAGTCAGAATGGTATGTGTCTCAGAATTTGTCAGTTGTAATATTCTTAATTTTTCAAAGAAGAAATATTATTTAAACTTATTTTAAGAAAAGTTTACTAATACAAACTTCACATCAATATAAATTTAAAAATAAATTTATCAGGAAAAAATAAAAAACATTAAAGTTGTGTTTATGCTTAACGCAACGGAAAACGCTTTATCACATTATTTTAGTTTTAAAGTCAATTAAAATGTATTAAAAATCAAGGAACATACTGAACCTTAAGGACTCCCAATCGAATGCAGCACAGCAAACTGTGGACCGACCGGTACGAAACCAGATGGAAACTAATGAAAGAGGTAACAAGCTGGTTTTTGGAAACATTATCTCACTAACTTCGTTCATGTTCAGTGCGATAATGCCTTTAATGTGGGCCCTAATCGGAGCACAAATTATTATCATATTTGATATTTATAATAACTCAAGGCGACACTTGATGCTCAATTTATCAGCACTCGGCAGCGGGGTAACAAATCAATGGCAGCCATACACTTACTAACTAGGTCGTCTGACTTACCCATTTTGAAGCCGAAATTATCAATTAGTGGGCAATCAATGAAACACTGTCTGGCAGTAGTACGCGGCGTATACGTAATGTGAGAATTAATTCAGTATCTGGACTGCACAGAGATCAGAGCTAACTGTTTGGCTGGACTGTCGGAATTGAAATGATGTCGGATCGCGGGTGTTTTGACGCTTTTGTGTTGGGCATGCAAAAATTATGACAGACGCATTTTATACTCGTACTTAGTCGTACTTATTCGCAAGTGAGGCTAGATAATACATTTTTCACAAACAACGGAGGAAGCTCTCTCACACATGTTCCCTTGTAGAGAACCAGACTTATCGCAGACATGGGCAACTATCATATCAAATCATACGCGACCGTTGAACCAAGCTCGACTGAGAGAGTTGAGCTCGGAATTTTTTCGATTTTATCAACGCTTTGTCTGCCTAGTCGGCAATTGGTGTCTGCTCTCGCAGCCTTTTTTGACACAGAAAAATAAACAAACCCATAAAAAACACATTTAAGTTCAGTTAAGGTGTTCACAGACCTCTAGTTCCGGACTATAGTGTGGAAAACTTTAGAGTAATTTGGCCGATCGGTATCTCCCATTATACCGGCGGCGTGAATCAGCGTTGAGGAAGTTAATTAGCATGCACCAGGCCCGATTCGGGGGGATTGACTTATTCCGATGGCTTATCGATACAGTTAGTACATACACAATTAAGTCGCTTGGCTAGTCGGTAGTAACGTGCGTGCCCCACACATCTGCTAATTGAAATGTCTCCGGTGTAGGCACTTAAAGTGTTTTATATCGACGTGGGTCGGCGAAGTGGGGATTCTGGTTAACGCCATCCGGAACAGGCAGTTCGATGTGATGTACATGGGAATTACGGGCCAGAAGTCAGTGCGTTTATTTACGACAATCTGCTAAATTTAAATCGTGAAAGTAAAATTCATTTGGGGGCTTGAATATTGATAAGGCAGCAGTAGCATGTTTTACAAACTGGTTATCAGGTCTTGACAAAATTTTGATGTAAAAAAAAAATGATTTGTTGTTTTGTGTAAATGGGAAAACAGGAGGCTCCTGTCGATGCCGTTTTGGAAACAAGTTGCGTTTTGCTAGATTCCAATTTAGGAATGTTCTTAACAAGTCCTGCCGTTAAAACGACTGTTTCTTTTAAATAAATATTTACGTTTTTATTAAGTAACCAAACAAGTAGAGCCCCCAATTGTTAGAGATAAAGAGACCATAAATCGATAATTCTGTCATAAATGCAAGTAGCTCTCAAAGTTGTAAATCGTTTTACTGCCCTATGATAACGAAACAAATATTAGGTACAAATAAACAATACTCGTAGATAATATAAGTATGGCTTTTTTTTCCATGAAAGCTTTTAAAAAAATTAAATTTTTATTATTAATAAATATATGGTTATTCAGATAAGGTCCAAGACTTTTTGCAGTTTAAATACAATTTTCTAACTTCACAGAGTAAAAACAATTACCAGAATTACAACAGATTCCATTCAAATGTCAGCTCCCAGTTTAGTACTTATCCGAGGACTTCTGAAGGTTTTATTATTTTTCCATTTGAAAAGATCTGTAAGACGATCCTGATATCATCATAAATCATCCAATAAAACAATTTATTTACCAGACACTCGAACGCAATTAAAATTATCGGCAATAGCTGTAAACTAAAACTAAAATGATATCTAGCGACATATCACTCCCACTTTTGCACCCCAGCAATATTTGCCATTTGTATTTATCTTGTTGCTGATTGTCGACAACCTGTTGAGCATGTGAGCAAATATCCAAGCAAATACGGGCTTCGATGGGCTTCCTGTAATTGCGTTAAATATTTGCATAGAAATGCCGGCAATCGAACGAAGCGGGGTGGCTGGCACGATTTCAATTTGCATTTTGTGCATCTACTGGCGATTCCGATGTCGATCAATCAATCAACCGACGATGACCTTCACAGTGACCATGCCGAGGGGGTAGTGGGTGGGATGAGGATCGCCGAGCACTGGCGCCACTGGTGGGCGTGGCCTGTCGCCAACGTCCAGCCGACGGATTGCAATCGCCTGATAGCAATATAATTTCGCACTTTAAGGGGCGTACCCGGGCTCTGGGGTTATCGCCATCCATCTGGCCCACAAAAACACCACGGGCTTCTGTACAGTTTACTTTTATTATCAAATACATGTACATTTAATCTAGTTATTCAGTACATGCAAGTTATTTATAGGTATATGTCTTTGCCATCTTAGCGTAAACATTCAGCAGAAAGTTTCTCCAAAAAGGAGCCCACAAAGAGGGCGGCACTCCGTCGAATCTTATAGTTATGGGGCGTGACCATGAGTACTTAGGAACTAATTGAACTACACTAAATGTAAGCTTTTAAGTCAATTCAAACACCGTGAAAATTGTGGAACATCAATAAGTTAAATTGTACATTTTATGTAATATTGTCCTTAGTTACGAAACGGTTAGTGATACCTTTGCTAATTTGGATTTGAATTTCGATGGAATAAGTGTTCTTTAATTAAAAACTGCAATTAAAGGTTTATAAATATAATAATTAAACATCGTATTTCCTAACTGGCCCTAATAGGTACTATCCTCGCAAAGGTATCAAACGAAACCCCTTCAAAACTCCTACATTACTTTTTGGCATTGTCTGCTTATTTACCTACGAGTTTAATGGCATTTGGATAGAATATTCTATAGGGAGCCCTCTTAGGATCCTTAGTGACCGCTCAGCCAACTCTGGATTTGGCTGGCAGTCTTGCCCTTCGTCTCCTGGAGGGCGATGGCCACGTAGGCAGTGGCTACAGCCATCCAACCACTGAAGAACCAGAATGGCACGTCGGTCCCGACGGACTTCAACTGGCCGAAGAGCCATGTCACGAGGAACACGCACACCCAGTTCATCATGACGCTTAGGGACACGGCGGTGCCCTTCACGTCCGGCATGAAGAGTTCGCCCATCATCATCCAGGGAATGGGGCCGTATCCCACCGAGAAGCTGACGATGAACAGCACTATGCACAGCAGGGGCAGCCAGTCGAGGGAGGATACATCACCGTGGTTCTTCATCGTGTTGAAGGCACCCAGCATGGCCAGGCACACTGTCATCACCGAACTGCTGAAGACCAACAGGATCTTCCGGCCCGCCTTCTCGATCAGCAGGGACGATACCAGGGTCATGATCACTTGAACCACGCCGACTATCATGGTGCAGACGCCAGCGTCCAGGCTCTTACTCTCCTCAAAGATTTGGTTCATAAAGAAGATCACCGCGTTGATGCCAGAGAACTGCTGGAAGAACATGAGTAGCACGGAGATCACGAGGCCCTTGCGAGAGGCGCGATTGCTGAACAGATCCATCATGGAGGCGTCCGCACCGGTCTGGTCCAGGTCGTTCTGGATCACCTGGATGGCACTAGTGGTGTTGCAGTAGTCACCCCACAACCATTTCAGGGCGCTATTTGCCTCGGAACGCTTGCCCTGAAAGTCAAAATTGGTATAGGCGTTTTTAAAGATATAAAAAATCATGAAATCAACTCGCTTACCCTTTTAAGAAGATACACTGGAGTTTCGGGCAGGAAGAACAGGCCGATTAGGAGAACGATTGGTATGACTAGACAGAGCATGCTCAGCGTTTGCCATGTGACCCAATTTCCCACCACATAGATGAACAGGATGCCGATAGTGAGGAGCAGCTGGAACAAGGTTCCCAGGCTACCGCGAATGCTGGTCTCCGCAATTGGCGAATTGGCGAAACTGATCGAAATCCAAGCCAAAATGAAGGGAACGTCCATTATCATGGCAGTATACCGTCTGCCGATCATATCAGCTATGTAGCCGGAGGGCAAGGCTCCGAAAAGAGCGCCCAGGGGCAACATAGAGCCGACCCATGTTTCTGCAAAAACAAGCGTTATTAGATAATCTTTTGAACTTGTCAAACTACTCGTAAGTGAGAAACCATAGGGAGAGAGCTTTCCGTTATCAATGACGTATGCATGTTCTCTATATTTGTATCTGTGTTATCTGTAGTCACGTAAGTCCTAACCACTTGTACCGCGAATGCAGCTTATATCTGCGTACTCCAACTTAAGTCAACTGAATTTAATTGGAACCACCACAAGTCAAAATTCATAAAAACTAGAAGATTTATTTTGACCCTCAAGATTTGGTGAGGACTTTCAAATTTAGTTGAAGTTCTTAAATATTTGTTTCTTATGAATAGCCATAGCTGAAAAACCGTAAGTTTAAAATAATAAATTACAATTAATACAATTAATCAAAATATAATTTTATTCTCAAGTTAGTTTTTTTAAATTTTGTTTAAGTCCTATAAGCATGCGTGGATCCACGGGGGTGATATGGGTGATATATTACCCCCCACAAGGGTGAAGAATTAAAGGAATTTTGGTATTCAAAAAGTATGCAACAAAAAAATTGTTCTAATATCACACCCCACCCATACCAGGGTACTATAACCCTTAACTTTTGGTCGATAATCAAAAAGGAAATAATCTTTACTGAAATAGTACATAGGTAAGAAACTGGTGTTATCAATGCAGTTAAAACAAGAGAGAACGCTATAGTCGGGTTGGTGTCCCGACTATCTAATACCCGTCACTCAGCTAAAGGGAGTGCGAACGCTGTGTCGGGTTGGTGTCCCGACTAATAATCGTAACTCAGCTAAAGGGAGTGCGAGGGAGATAGATATATGTTGACAATTTATAAAGCGTATAACTTTTTAATGAATGGTCCGATTTGAAAAATGTCTTCTACATTTCGATAGGTATAAATATACACAACAAAATTGCATTTATACTTCTCGGAAATCTTTAAAGATGTGGGCGCAGGACCCATTTTAAAATCGTTAGTGGGCGATTGTGGGCGTTAGAGGGGGCGTGGCGCTCGGCTAAAATAAACTTGCGCTGCGTAGGAAGCCAAAGAATATGTGTGGGAAATCTCAACCTTCTAGCTTTTGTAGTTTCTGAGATCTCAGCGTTCATACAGACGGACAGACGGACAGACGGACAGACGGACAGACGGACAGACGGACAGACGGACAGACGGACAGACGGACATGGCTAGATCGACTCGGCTAGTGACCCTGATCAAGAATATATATACTTTATGGGGTCGGAAACGCTTCCTTCTAGATGTTACATACTTTTGCACGAATCTAGTATACCCTTTTACTCTACGAGTAACGGGTATAAAAAGTGTGCTATCAGTGCAGTTAAAGAACCCTTAAAATATATTCTATAAGAAAGTTACTTACGTTCAGAATCGGTCAGTAGAAGGCCACCTTCACTGGCAGTCGTGCTATTACTAGTTTCATTAGTTGCTGTCTTGTTCAAAGATATCTGAGGAAACACAGGGGAGGTCCATGATAACGCAGTACCAGCAGCAACAGCGCCGAAACAAACTGTAAGAATTGAATAAATAAGGACCACCACAAAACAAACTCATCCTCCCTACTTATTATGGCCGCCAGATATTGCCGGGTCTTCGAGTTCTTCGCCACACTTTCCTGCAGAAGGTCGTAGGTTATCGGATTGCGTGAGTCCCCATCTTCTTGGCTGACAGTCTGCAAGGGAAAAGCTCGTTTTTAGTGATCTGTGTAAAATTATTAAGCCTTACTGCAGCTAATTATAATGATTACGATTGCTGCCCTGCTCGGTTTCCTGACTGGCCTGGTTATGATAATAGGCAAAGTGCTAGTGTTTCTTTGGACTTTGGCAAAAACCTTATACGTAACTTTCAAACTAGCTAGAGCGTTAAAGAAGACGCCAACATTAAGCGATGTAAAAACTCAATTTAAAGAGATGTCCCTTGGTAAAGCCAAAACAATATTAAAGGAAAAGTTAAATACATCTTAAAATCGATTGTGGATATATAATAACACAAAATTTTCAATTGTCAAAAAAAGTTTAATTTAAAAAAGTTTTAATGTTTCAATTAACGTAGCAAAGTGTTTAAATGCATTACCAAGGTTACTTTAAATGTTACATTGTTTCAAATCAAAATCCAAAGGAATTATAAATAAAGTACGTTTTCTAATTCGCTGAAAATTGTAAGGCGGTCCTATAAGTATTACAGTATTTTGGCACATTTGTCGGATTATGATGTTGAATTCTGCCACCAAATTGAATTTACCTGCCACCAACGTGCCATTGCGCGAACCACCTTTTCAGAATCCATTCGAGATTCTACCGATTTCCGGGTTCTTTACCAACGCCTTATATAAGACGATCGCACAAAGAACGCACTGTGCCAAAATTTGATGACTCTTTGTTGGTGTAAAAAACACTACTTTATGGTTTGTATATAACGGCTTATATATTTCACTTATTTTTATCGTTTCCCATTAATTATATTAGGAAAGCGTTCCTATATATAAATAAGTTTTTGTTTTGATTTTTCCGCTAATTTTAGTGCCTGCTTCGGGGGCAGTGGATTGTCTCGTGCGAACACCTCGAGACGACTGATTCTGAATCGTTGGACTCTTCGAAAAAGCGTATTTTCATCTCGATTCTTGGCAAAAATTCTTCTATGGCGGATAGATCTTTTATTTTATCTGGCGCTTGTGTCGGCATTTCGTTGGATTGCCAGCAGATTACGCGCATCAGTTGCAGCCGAATCTTTTGTTTTACGTCAGATTCAAATGGATTTTCTCTCGAAATAGTAAAGACGTAAATAATTTTTAATCAACAACCTGTTGAATGGATCTTTCTGGATACTCCATCCAGTAAGGTTACAAATAAATAGATAATACGAAATAAATGAACTAAAAACCTATTGGCATAGACATATTAATTGTTTATCAATGAACATCAATTTGAAGCGATTTCTTAAGTGAAAGCACGCATATATTACGCATACGCCACCGCACCTGAGTTGAACAACGTCCGAGCAAACAAATACTTCCGACAAAGCGCCCGTCAGTTAAAATTAAATTGCTAAATGCATTTCAGTGCGTTTGCATTTACGGTGCATTTGCCAAGCGGTCATCGGTATCGGGAACCAAATCCATTGAGTATTCTCCGACCGTAAATAGAAGCTTGTCTCCGATTAGATGACAACCTCATAAAATAGTTTTTTATGAAATTGATTCCTTGCTGGATGTGCAAGCGACCGTTTAAAATGTTATTAAACGGAATGTCTAATTATAAAATAAAGCACGTATGTGCTTCTTAATGGCGTCAAGTGCATGCCAAAAGAAACCTGTCGCCGCATTCACACCCAAACAAGTCGAACAGCCGGCGGCGGAGCGAGCGAGAGGCACATACAGTGCGAGGGAGATAGCGACTGGGGGTCAGAACGATCCCGCAGACACACCCACCGTACACTGAGAGAAACATACCGTTTTCTCGAAATACGGAGCAAACATAAGGTTTAATATACAAAAATGTAATGACGTTAGTAGATAATGAACTCGGAATTAGGATTTTCTTAATAATAATAATAATTTAAAGTAAATACATTCTTGTGCTAAGTTACTTAAGACGTGCGTAATAGAGATATGAAACCCCTAACAACCAAACCGTAGTTTCTCTGATGAATGTTCAGTGCGTTATTTTTCCCAGTGTACAGAAAGGGGCGCTCGCCAACATCACATGCTAATTAGTTTGCATCGTTTGTTTACTTTGTTTCTGCAGCCGCCTTTCGCTGTTTTTCCGATGTCAAGTTCAGCGAGTGCCTTGTGCCATGTGCTTTTGCATTCGGGAGGCCCGTACTCAAGTACCTGCCCCGATTTCCGAGTCTATATACATATATATGCACATTTGAGGTGCACCATGGCTTTTATGTATGTATGTATGTTCGATGTTTCCGCCTGCACGCCCACAATTTCGCTGGCTGTTTTGTGGCCCGTGCCATTGCAGCTCACTCAGCCGATAGACAATTTCTTTTATTGACGCAATTCCCTTAATTTGCTCAAGTCCATTGCCCATGGGGTAAATAAAGCGATATTGTTTACCCTTGGCCACCGCTTCTGTTTCAAGGTGTGCTGAGCATTTGAATACTCCTAAATATAGACTATGAAAATGACAAACCGCAATAAACTGTCTTTATAAGTGGCTTATGGACTTGCACTTGGCGTAGTTACTCGAGTAGTGCTCTTTGGAAAGTGAGGATTACACGGCGCCACTATAAATCTGCTTAAGGGAACAAAGAAAATTTTTTTTTCCTTTTTGAGAAACTCATTACTCACCAAGAGATAAATGTAATGACAAGTGCCTCCAAATTGTTATTATTTCTGTTATTGCGTTATCATGGGACATTAATGGATGCTTTGTATGAATCATTATAAAATACAAAGGGCTGTGTTTCTCATTGTCTTTTCAAGTCGTATGCCAGTATCTTTAACTGACTTCTTCAGTTATAAAGAATATTTACATCCCATCGAATAAGTTCATATTAATTGAAAATACGGCCTGTAAATGTGCGCAATTTTAAAAATCACATTTTACCGGACACTGAGATGACCATGAAATCCTACAACTTATAGATATGTAAATATTATTATTTTTGCCCTGCAGATTGCCCGACAGTTCTGTGCGAGCCAGATAAACTCGGAATAAATATGTCAGTAAACATAAACAACAACAAAGTGATTGGCACGCGACTGAAATTATGTACATTATATTATATTGCTGAATCGATTATTGTTTTACTGACTCGAGTTGATAAAACGTCGGCCAAATGGAGCAGTAGACAAAAAAACCCAAATACGCTCTGCCTTATCTTTAGAAATGGCTAAAAATGAATCATTTGGACGGCTGGAAATCGAACTCTTTAAATCTGAAACGAATGGGCCCAGCGTCACGCTCAAAGGTGGACAGCTAATTGGCCATTATCGAAAGCAGTTAGTGGCTGCGTGAACCACACGCCGATCGTAGCTGCTGCTCCCTCCGAAATCTTCGCGATCTTTTCGCTCGCCGATAAGCGCCTATTGGCCCCGTGCTCAATTACGGGTATACGACTTCCTAATGCCCCATCAAATCGTTCGGTAAGAGCCACTTCAGAGAGCATTGTCGAGTGGCAAGTAATCGATCTATTCTGTTCCACTGCCAAGGGCGAGATAAGGTTGTATGCCACCCCCCAAGTACAAAGCTCTCGATCCTGGGGCCCTAAGCCCGCTCTAATCTTTGGTTTATGGCTCCCGATAACAAAACACTAAGTTGGCTTGACAACCTGCCGCACGGAACCGTAAACAAACCTGTTCAAGCGGGAGCCTTTATAAATCTTGAACTTTGCGTAAACTTCTTCAGGGGGAAGTGTAGTTCGATTAGATATTTTGGCTGACCACTTGGAAATCGTTTCGCAATTAGTAGCTAATAAATTATTTCTTTGATTGAGGGCAAGATTGTGACAATAAATGCAAATTTAAGTGGCTAATTAAATAGGTAGCCAACTTTCCTAAAACAGTAGTTAAGTGATTAAGAACAAAGCTCAATGGGTTTTTCGAAATCCATAAAAGACTAGAGGTTACTTTGAATATTTTCAAGGAAATTTATAATAAAAGGATTACTCCTAACTTTATGTTATCTTATTTAAATTCATAAAAAGTTATTGGTTCAATTTAAACGCTTTTTTAAACTTTTTTTAACCTAGAAACTCTGTGATCAATTTAGCTAGTTTTTGCTTTTTAATTTACTTTGAAATAACAAACAACTTTAATGCCCTTGAAATATGGCCCTTACTTAACAACCAAATACTTCAGCAAGATAAAGAATTCTTTACATTTATATTGAAATCTAATCTTAGCCATTCCCCACAGCTTGTTTATTAATAGCAATTTTCAACTTCCATGTTACCAAATTTACTTGTCATCATGTCGCATTTATTAATTATTTGTTGAATTCTCCTGTACACTTAACCTAAGACAAACCAAAATTAGCTAGACCAATTACCATTTTAACGTCCTCGGTAGCCACCATGTTGCTATAACGTATGAAGCAGCACTATTTAATAAATCGCCCGCTGATGCGAGGTTATGTGTTCGGTGCAGTTGTATTTATGTCGTGGGTGACACTTTTCTGATCAGTACTATAATCTGGAAGCTTTAACTATGGAAACGTGTGGATGGGCGCGATGAGCGTCCGAGCTGAACTGAATTTCTCCAAGGAAATCGCTTAGCAGCTAAGCGAAATAAGCGGCGACTGCGACGGCGACTGCGACAGAGGCTGATATTGAAGGCCTGATAGCGCGTTGACAGAGGCAGCGACAGCAGCAGCGCCGTCGGCAGCAGCAGCCCGATAAAATTCCACTGGGAGCTCGGTGAAGCTCATCATGAATCTATGGATCAGGAAGACCGATACGCGTCTAGGGAAGGTCCATTTTGCTCAGACGATTATAGGCGGTGTTGATTGGCTGATTATCCTGGTAGCTCTTCAACTTCTCCACGATTTTCATGAAGCCGCGTTCCAGAGATGGGGAGCTGACCTTTTGGAACACGTTTAGCACATGGTCCACCAGGGCCTGGGCCAAATTCTGCACAGTACAAAAATAATAAAATAACAGTCAAATTTTATACTTTCCATGAAACGTAATCAACAACATTTTACAGGAGAGACTCAAATATACAAATTATGAATTTAATTTAATAAGTTTGGACGTACAATTCAATCAGTTTTTAGAAATGTAGCACGCTTTGTTGCGGGTAGCACTTTTCTGGTTAATAGCCTAGTGGGCTATCCTCGATAACACTGTGCAGCATTTTTAATGCTTTTTAAATTTACCTCGATGGATGCTATATTTAGGCATAATCATAAAAGCATACAGCTGTGGTCAAAATAGTAGTAGTCTTGCCGTCCTGTTATTTGCTGTTGTCACTTTTCTTATCCAATTAGTCTAATAGTACAATTATAATCAATACAATATTACCAGGAGAAGATAAATTACAACAAGATAACTTTAAAAACACAGGGCGGCAACACAACTACTATTTTGACCGAAGATGTATGCTTTTATGTATTTTGACAATATTTTCTAAAATTTGTTTCTCCCTTAATAAAAATCCTAAAATTATTCTAAGTATGGGATTTAAATGATAAAGAGTGTATCTTTTAAAAAACGTTAACATCAAGTCAAACAATGTATCCGTTTGCCCCTGAGAGCTCCGGAAAGTTGGCCAATTTCAGCATTTTTCGAACTTTGAGGTCCTTTTGCTAAGAATCCTTGCGTCGGGGAACTTTTTAAAAAACGCAGTTTAACTTGGGAATTTGTAACGAATTTAAAAATATAGCATCCATCGAGGTAAATTTTGATGCTGCAACTGTAATTGATTTTTGTATCCTGCCGATTCCTATTTTTATACCCGTTACTGGTAGAGTAAAAGGGTATATTGTATTCGTGCAAAAGTATGTAACAGGGAGAAGGAAGCGTTTCCGACCCTATAAAGTATAAATATTCTTGATCAGGATCACTAGCCGAGCCGATATAGCCATGTCCGTCTGTCCGTCCGTCTGTCCGTCCGTATGAACGCTGAGATCTCGGAAACTACAAAAGAAACAAATAAGAAAATTTTTGTGTCATTTAAACGGAATTGAAGTGCTCTTTCCAAAGGTGCCAAAATGTTTATATTATAAGTTCAAAATATGAGTACAGTTAACATTCAAATTTGTGAAAATACTTTTGACTAGGGTTGTAGTTTCTGTCATCTTAACGAACCGACGGACTGACAGTTGAACATGGCTAGATCGACTCGGTTAAGGAAAAAATCAATAATATACTTTGTAGTGGCGGAATCGTTTCCTTTTACCTTTCCGGAATACAAAATACCCTTTCATTTTATGAGTAAAGGGTACAATTATTTTAATACCTATTCTACTTCTAATCGACATTTTATTCTTTAATTTTTGGCCATTTTTACATAATTTTTATAAACATAATTTTACAAATATAATAAATAACAATAAAAGCTTTTATAATGAAATTAATAAATTAAAATTACTCAATAAGTGAGCAACAACAATAAATTACCGCACATTAATTAGTAATATCCTGTTTTTAAATAGAATACACATTTATTTGATGACACAATAATGACGTATAGGTGGTTTCGGCCCAAGATAGTCTCTCAGTATAAATAAGAAAACAATTTGTCACACCCTTGGAGCCCTTCTGGGAATCATACTCACTCCGATATAAGCAGACCCTACGTTGCAGCGGCTGTGGGTGAGATTGTTGTCATTTATCATCAGCTGGAACATCACTGGGTCCTCCTGTTCGATCAGAAGACCAAAAAAGTGGACAAAGTGTAACGCATGCGAGTGCAGGGCCTTTAGGTTAAGTTCACCTTCGTCCCTGAACTTATTGATACCCCAATACACATCATTTAAGAAGCTGCCGAATAATTACTTTTAACATTATCCCATCGTAAGGAATCTTACCTGTAGAATACATCCTGTCCGTAGCGCCGCTCATAGGGTCTTATTAAATTCCACACCTGCCTAAGAGCCAATCTTTCGTTGAGCGTGAAACCCAAGTCGTCCTTAATAGCACCAACCTTAATTTTTGGCAAACGCTTCGGGTAGATAAGGCCGGCTATCCCAGAGGACTTCTTTGAAATTTTATCCTTACTCATTCTGAAATTTGGGTTTTATAAAAAACAACAAAAAGGTACTGCAATAAAAAAAAAATGTTATTTGATTATCTCTTTTTGTTTTGCACACTTTAGCATAGCATACTTAGAAGATTGGATTTACTCTACGAGTAACGGGTATAATAAACAAAATAAAAATCAGAGCCTCGCGGGCCTCCTGTAAGACTTTTCGCCAATCTGATTTCACAGCCGTCTAAGGGCTTATCAAAGCTACCTCCACCATTTTTTGCAAATTTTTTTATCCACTTTTAAAAAATGGCTTATCCTTTGATTATACCCGTTACTCGGGTATATTGTATTCGTGCAAAAGTATGTAACAGCTAGAAGGAAGCATTTCCGACCCTATAAAGTATATATATTCTTGATCAGGGTCACTAGCCGAGTCGATCTAGCCATGTCCGTCTGTCTGTCCGTCCGTATGAACGCTGAGATCTCGGAAACTACAAAAGCTAGAAGATTGACATTTTGCATGCAGATTCTAGGAGTTTCTACGCAGCGCAAGTTTGTTTCAAAAGGGTGCCACGCCCCCTCAAACGCCCACAATCTCTTATATACGATTTTAAAAATTTCAATATTTTGGAAAAGTAAAAATGCAGTTTTATTGTGTTTATCAATACCTATCGAAATGTAGAAGAATTTTTTTAAATCGGACCATTCGTTAAAAAGTTACGGCGAATCAAAGTTTTTATCTCCATCTCCTTCGGACTCCCTTTAGCTGAGTAACGGGTATATGATAGTCGGGGCACCCGACTATAGCGTTCTCTCTTGTTTTTATTTTTTGTTTTATTTTTATTTATAAGTGTGTCTAAGTACACTGTACTTGTGTAATTATTTTCATAACCGCTTTTTTAACTACCAAGACATTCTTTAACTTTCAAATTCCATACTCGTAAAAAAAAACTTATGGATGATTTAGTTTACATCAGCCGATCATTCAAGACTTTATTGCCCTAGCACTTTCCAAGCTTTCTTACAATTCGTATCCAATTATGGAAAAATTTGCAGGGTGTTACTGTATTCCTGAGGGACACCACACACAGGGCAAATGCTACGGATGCTGAGGGCACGATGAATACACCCATCGCAAAAGACGTGGCCACAACTGGTGGCACGGGGATTGTCGGCCGAGCGAAAGCATATGGGGCACCTCACCACACTCTCACAATTGGATGGCAAGAATTCGCCATTGGACCGGGTTGTTTGGGCTGGAACAGCTAAAGATAGAAATATTTGAAAAGAATTTGATTTTGGCGCAATGAAGTAAATCCAACCTCCAGAACCATTCGGCTGAATTTGAACCAAAACGTTGGTAGAATTGCGATTTAGAAAGTTGAACGAAACGGGTGCTTGATTAGGTGTTAACTGGGTACCTGAAAAAAAGAATATTAAAAACAACTGGTCCCTTAGTTAATAACGCTATTAACATTTATAAACACTGTATATGAAAAATATTTTTAAAATAAATGGAACAAGAAAGGAAGCTACCTTCGGCCAGCCGAAGCTTATATACCCTTGTAGATAAAGTGAGGCTTACTCGGTGCAGTTCCAGGGATTCCAGATTCAGCGTTTCTATTTTAATTTTGTTTATACATAAGTAGTCAAGTATCAAAACGCCTACTTCCTACAAAGTTACAATGAATTTTCTTATATTAGTTTGCATTTTCCTATGGGAGCCTTAAGATGTAGTGGTCCGATCGGCTCGCTCCGACATATGAACTACCTGCAATAGAAAGAAGACTTTCGGGAAAGTTTCATCGCGATGGCTTTAAAACTGAGAGACTAGTTCGCATAGAAACGGACAGACGGACAGACGGACATGGCTAGATAGACTCAGCTATTGATGCTGATCCAGAATATATATACTTTATGTGGTCGGAAACGTCTCCTTCACTGCGTTGCAAACATCTGACTGAAATTATAATACCCTCTACAAGGGTATAAAAATACCTAAATAATCTGTAATATTGTTTTTTAAAAACATTAAAAATTTAAAATGTTAATACATATAAATTATTTTCTACTTTCTGTACACTATAAATTATTTACAACTATGTATGTTTAGTACATCGGTCAATAATTGTGAGTATTGGAAGAAACGCGGGGAAACAACCCATAATTACACTTGATTAACTTATTCGGCGAAATCAGATCTTGGCGAATAGGGCGGATATCTTTTGTGAGGCGGCATCTGAAAAAAGATACACCATAGTTTGTTACCAGTTTTCTGGCTTTTCAACATAAACGGCATACTGAAGGAGACTAAATTCTGAGGGGACCTTTTGCTGCAAGTATCAGGAGCTTTTGCGGACGCTATCAAAGAGATAATGGAAAAAACCCAGAAAAACTAAACAATTGGCTAGACCTGTAAAATTGTCTGGGCGTTAGAGGGCGTGTCACTCTGATGAATAAAATTTCCGCTGCGCAGAAACCCCAAGAATCTGCATGGTTTGTCCCAACATTTAAGCTTTTATAGCTTTCGAGATCTCAGCCTTCATACGGACGGAAAGACAGACATAAATGGCTAGATCGACTCGTGATCCTGATCAAGAATATACTTTATAGGGTCCTTCTTCCTGTTACATACTTTTCAACGAATACAATAAACCCTTTTACTCTACGAGTAACAACTATATAAAAATCTAAAATATAGGGAATCGAATACAAACAGTCGGAATTGCCGATTCGGAAAGACATATTATCTATAAGTGTTACAAAACATCACCGAGATATTAAATCCAACTAGAGAAGACGCCAAGAGTTGGTGAACCAGGGGCTTTATCACCCTTCGTGACGGCTCCAATATGAGCTATGGCGTGTGCGCCATATTATTAAAATTTTTTCTGAAAGCTACGGGAACTGAAAACAGCTAGGCTTTTTTTAGTAGAAAATTTCTACAGGAGCCAAGCGGCCATTCAAAGTCTCTCAGTGGACCAGAATGAACTCCCAACTTGCTCCCAAATAATCTTACTCGCAGGAAATGTTTATGTTCATGCTTAATACTCAGGAGAGTACATACGACACCTTTAAATAGGTAACGGACAAGACTGACCATTCTGGTCAAAAACGGGATAACTTAGAAGGTTAAAACTTTGCTGACGCAAAAAGGACAAAATATGCTCACAGCTGATGGCATTAAAACAACTTATTACCCACCAGAAATTCCAATTGTGACAGGTGACCCACCAGATGGTGCAAAAGATATGCTGACGTTGATCTCAACAGAAGGTGAGGACTGCTGATGGTCAGAAGGGCCGTTGACCACCAATAAGTTATCGTTTTCTTCTCCAGGGTCGTCCGGCAAAGAGCTACTGTTGCCGACATCATCCAATTCCACTAGATCGTCCACAGATTGGCCACAAATGAAACACCTGCAGCGTCCCTCCTCTGCTGAAGCTGTGGGCCGAGGTTCCGGGCTCTCGGGCGGAGTCGCCGCGTGAGAGCCAGCTGAATAAAGTTCGACATGTATTTGCTTAAAAATATTTTCTTAACAATCGACTATACCTTCAATTTCGGCATTGACTAGGTCGGACTCTAATGGAATGAATTCCGAGCCTTCCTGCGGCTCATAGTTCCTATTTTCACTCATATTTTTTAAAATATGTATGCCGGTTGGCTGCTTAAAAGATTGTAAGCATTACAAATATTTGTTAATTGACATATACCTCAGAAAGTAAGGAGTTGTCAACAATTAATCCTTTAATAATAAACCTACGATTGTGAGGTAGCAACCCTCCTAATATTAAATGTGACCCTTTTTATTTATTACACTAATTACATTATTGAACAGCGTTTAGCAACACTTCAAATGAAAGTTTTGACCATCCTTGTCAGTATTGTTTACTTATTTTAACCTGAGAATGGTTCTATTCATAAATAGGCAAGTTTTCATTTCACAACTTGTATTAATGATAATTTTTCTTAGCAGAGGGGATTACAAGAGAAAACTTAAAGCCTATCTTATATGAATCACAAGATCAGACATTCATTTGTCGAAACTAACATTTCTTTTGACCAACAATTTAAGTAAACTAAGTTTCATGTTATATTAATAGGAAGTTATACATATATGGCTCACAGAGCAAATTCAATAAAAATAAAAAGTAAGCTCCTCAGAGATAAATGCGAAAAAATTGACGTGCTGTTAGCTTTTTGTTGCACATCGGGCACTTGTGCGTGGCGCTGATGGCAGTTTTAATACATTCCTGGCAAAAAACGTGTCCGCATTTGGTTGACACTGGTTCGCGCTTGGACACACTTTCCATGCAGACCGGGCACTTGTAGGAGTCCTCCTTCTGGGACAACTCGGGATCGCGGTGGGCTCGCTTCGGTGGCGACACATCATCAATATCCACAACGGAGGAATTTTCGATCCGCCTAGCCAATATGGGGCGACGATTGGAAACGGTAGGCGAGTCGTTCGATAGGATTTCCGGACGGTGTCTTGCTCCGTCGGGTGTGCACAAGTCGATCACAGCGTCGGGAGCTCGATTCCGGGCGGATCGAACCGGCGGTGCAAATTCCAGATGGGACAAATCAATCACTTCCACTGGACTAACTATCGAAAAAGTATATCAAATTTTACTTAGTGCATACAACTTTGTAAAGCCGGTGCTATTATCTGGTTTTCACAGAACTCATGTTTTGTTAAATTGGAGCTATTTATCTTAAGCTATTTAAGTTAATTGATCACACATATATAGATATTGATTTAAATCCTAACTTTCAATATCCTTTTTTTAAGCTTTTAAGAAATGATTTAGAATAGAGTTTTGTGAAAACCAGGATGGGACTTGATTTAGACTTACTGTCACTCCTACGACGGTTACCCCGCACTACGGTTGGTGTTGAGGTCGTCGTGGGGGAAATGTTGTTGCCAATCTGATCGCAGTAGCGATTTACTGAAACTCATAAAAGTCAATTAATCTAGTACAGAGACTTAAATCTAGTGTTGACCTACTGCGATCTAATTCGGCCTCCATGTCGGCGACGTTTCGGGAGAGTGATCTGAGCTGTGATGGAACATCGTTGTTTGGAACGGACAAGTCAACCAGGAAGTGCGATTCATCGTGGCTCATATTCAAAGAGCTATCTCCACTTGTGGATTGCAGGTTGCTTGATCCGTCTGCGGAAATGCCGCTGATATTGGATGCCGAGGACGAATTGGCTCCTGAGGATGAATTGGCACCTAGGGATGAATTGGCTTCAAAGGATGAATTGGCTTCCAAGGATGAATTGGCTTCCAATTCCAATGATGAATTTGATGCTGCCGATAAATTGGGGGCCGCTGATGAGTTTGATGCCGCCGATGAATTGGATGCCGCGGATGCACTGGAGTTAGAGCTGGAGCTAGAATTAGCGCTGGAATCGGATACGTGGCTGTCCGTGGACTGGCCAAGGATTGAAGGTTCAACCGCAGAGTCCTACTAGATGAAACGAGCCAAAATCTGAATAAACTCGCTTGGGGTCTCAAAGTACAACTTACAAAAGAAAATACAGTTGAATCTGACATGCTTCGGGCTGCAATTACTTAGACAATAGATGAAGTGACTTTCAAATGAAAAGAAGGGCAGGTGCTCCTGGATATATCTCATTTGATTTGTGGCTAAGCGGAATAATTCACAATTGTCTTTTCGCGGCCATACGGCTGTTTTAGAGATGGGACTTTGCTGGCATGCCGGTGCAATAACATTAAATCGATAGCTGAGTATTTTCCAATGTTTTTTATTTGCGCAAATTTCGATAATTGACAATTTGATTTCATTTAATGAAATAATTTTATTAACCTAGGCATAATTAATGGCTTGGCTTATTGCTAACAATCATAATTTGGTAGTTACGTTTTTTTTTAATAATTTCGTATTATTATCGATATCGGCCAGTTTTAGTGTTGGTTAATTCCCGACTGCTGCACGTCACCAGAGCAAAGAAATAGAATTTTTAAAAATCATAACAATACGGTTCTTATTCTTTGGAGCCATGGATAAGGACACTTTTACGCTGCAGTCCATCCGGCAGGACCTTATCGACAACAACCTGCAGGCCAAGGCGATAATACAGGTGAGCGGGCGCCAGGTGGTGAGGAAACCTAAAGTCCAATCTTCCGATTTCAGGATATCCTGAACAGCCGCACCTCGATCGCCGAACTGGAGGAGCTGAACGAGGCGGGGCGCTCCAAGCTGTCGGCCATCCGGCGGAGCATCGAGCGGCTGGACGACTGGGCACGGGACACCACAGACCCGGCACTGGCCAAGGAGGTGGACACCCACCGCGACCAGTTCTCCAAGACGCTGCAGGCGTTCCGCAAGGCCAACGTGTCCACCATGCTGGAGATCGAGAAGGCCAACCGCGAGGAGCTGATGGCCATAACCGGCGAGAGTGAGCTGCGCCAGCGGACGACGGCACGGGCGCGCCACAACCAGGGCAGTCTGGTCTCCCAGGAGAACGACGTGACCGAGAAGATGCTGGCCATATCCCGGCACCTCTCGGAAACCACCCAGAAGAGCGCCGTCACCCTGGAGACGCTCGTGGCCTCGTCCCAGAATGTAGAGGCCACCAGCGACGAACTGCAAAACACGGCCGGCAGCATCACCATGTCCGGCAAGCTGCTCAAGAAGTACGGACGCCGCGAGTGCACCGACAAGATGCTGCTCTTCTTCGCCTTCTGTCTTTTCCTCGCGTGCGTCTTCTACATAGTTCAGAAGCGGCTCTTCTAGGGCCCCCGAGTGGACCACTTCCTGCCTAGCTTAAGGTTGTCGCTTTTGTTGTCTAGGAATTAGCTATTTAGGCTTAGCACACGACCATTACTTTAAGCCCCGATCTTATATTTATATTTATTTAGTAAATAACCAAGTTGTATGTGTGGTTTTGAGTGTATAAAATACAGTGCAGGCTAGTAAGAACACCAATGCTCACATTTATTTATTGTAAAAGTTCACCTGGGCTGCTATTACTATTCATTTAGAAATATTTCTAAGTAGCTTATTGTGTTTATTTTGTTAAATGTAGGGCAGGCTAATAAGTACGCTTTGGCACTCGACTTAGGTTTGTAAAACCGTTGGCGTAGACTAAGCAGCAGATGTCGCTTGGAGCTATGTAGTTGAGCTCATTGATAATTATAGCCGGAATATAACCGCTTAAATACATAATGATTTCCGACTACATAAACCACATATCGTTCAATTGCTGCAAAAGTGGCCTTTATGATACAATCCCTGATCAGCATTACTAGACTAGTCAATCAAAATTTAGTTTGTCAGATTAACAAGTCATCTTTTTATAAGAAAAAATTATAGTTTCGTTGATTTCAATAATATTCTGTGCTACTGTGCGGCTTAGTATTTTTTAACCCTCTCGGCGTATATACATATACCGTAACAATTAGCATTAGCAGTGCATTTGTTGAAAAAGATATTAACTTTAATTTTTATTTTAAAACACATCTAAGATCAAGTTGTACGTTACAGCGCCGTTAAGTATACTAAGGTAAACTCTCTGAGACAGGTGCGCAGTTTAGAAATTATACCCTGTAATCCTATTTTTTCCCCACCTAACACGATTTATCAAATATTATTTACTGTTAAAATGGTTGATTTTTTATTCACAATAATAGCAATACAATCCGCTCAAGGAAATATAAAATGTAGGGCAGCCTATTTAATACACTTTGGCACTCCACCTGGGTTTGTAAATCCGTTGAGGTTGACCAAGCGGCAGATGTCGTTGTAGGATCGCACTGGAGCTGGCGGCCGTCGTCTGTAGTCGTTGTTGTAGTTGTATGGATAGTTTTGCTGCCTCGGATAATTATAGCCGGGGAAGAGACCTTTAAGCACAGATCTACTGGTGACACCGGTCAGCGCCAGTATGCACAGTAGAACGCAAACGATTGATTTGCCCATAGCCACTCAGTCTCAGATTAAGCTTCGGAATAAAATCGTAGATGATTGGCTTCGGCTGGCCTACTTATAGAACTTCCGCGACCTTGCACAGAGTGGGAAAGTAATTGGAATCACGAATCTATTCTGATTTGCCTAAGGTGCTGATAACAGTTTTGCTAACGCTATCATCAGAAAATTCGACCTTGTATATTTACCCTTAAACCCATTCAAGTTTAGATTCCCGCCCCCAAAATGGCATTTTAAAAATATTAATAACTGATACACGCACAATTACAGGGTATAGGTCGGGGGTGACTCAGAAATTTCAGTCGAAATTAGAGTGAAATGTACTTTGTATCAATACAAGAAGTCACCCCCGATTGTATTCCTTGGAAAGTACATTTTATGTATACATTTAGCAAGCCGTTGAAAAGCCAATTGAATTTTTATAGAAAATTAAAATTTGATTACAAGAGAGCCATGGCTGTCTTCATTTCTTCATGTAACGGTCCGCCGAGTATAACTTAACCATGTTTATCTTTTTTAAAAACTAGAACCTACCGCCGCACGAACAATCGAAGTGTTATCGATAATTTGGTATTTTCATTATTAATCGACCATCACTAGGAAATAGCCAAATAGGCAGCACTGGTCGTTTTGTTTTGGTTAAAATACAATTTAATTTTCTAATTCTTTCCCGCTTTTGTCGCCCTAATTACTGTTTAAAACAAAATGAGCACCGCTGTAGAAGTGGCCAACAAGGGTCCGGGGCAGTTGGCCAACTACTTTGCGCTGCAGACGGCGTTTGAGGTGAGAGGCTTCGAGGGCTTCGATGCCGGCCATCATGGGATCTGTCTGAATTAAAAACTAAAAAATTGCAGAAAGCCCTGGAACTGGCCATAGCCGACGGCAACGTGGAGCTGCTGGTCAAGGAGTACAACAGTTTCCCGGCCAACACCGAGCACGACAAGCGCCTGCCCATGGACCACGCCTTCCGTGTGCTCCTCATGAAACGGCTGGAGGACGACGTGCAGCGCATCGGCGAGCTGGTGCGCCTCTCCGTGGACGCCACGCGGGCCGAGATCGTGTCCAACACTATTCCCGTGGTGCTGCTCATCGACACCTTCGACGTGGTCACGCTGGACAAGTGCCAAGAGATCTTCCGGTTCGTCGAGGAGCTGGTGGAGGTGTGGAAGGAGGAGATATTCTTCGCCTCGTGCAAGAACAACATCCTGCGCATGTGCAACGACCTGCTGCGCCGCCTCTCTCGCACCCAGAATACCGTCTTCTGCGGACGCATCCAGCTCTTCCTCTCCAAGTTCTTCCCCTTCTCGGAGCGCTCTGGCCTGAACATCGTGTCCGAGTTCAACTTGGACAACTTCACGGAGTACGGGCTGGACAGCAAGGACCACGACGAGAGCGACAACAAGGAGCTGGAGGACACCGCCGAGGATATTCCCCTGAAGATCGACTACGACCTGTACTGCAAGTTCTGGTCGCTGCAGGACTTTTTCCGAAATCCCAATCAGTGCTACAACAAGGCTCAGTGGAAGATGTTCCAGATGGTGAGTAGCTTCTTGGATGTAGGCGTGTATTACATTGAGCACCAATGATTTTGGTGATATATCTAAGCATTTTTATACCCTTGCAGAGGGTATTATGATTTCAGTCAGAAGTGTGCAACGCAGTGAATGAGATGTTTCCGACCCCATAAAGTATATATATATATTCTTGATCAGGGTCAATAGGGAAGTCGAAATAGCCATGTCCGTCCGTCTCCGCCCGTCCGTCCGTTTCTACTCAAACTAGTCTCTCAGTTTTGAAGCTATCGGCTTCAAACTTTCCCAAAAGTCTTATTTCTATTGCAGGTAGTATATAAGTCGAAACCGACCGGATTGGACAAAAAACGTTAAAAATTCTAGCTTCGGTGTTTTTTTAAATATTACCTTCTACTCTTGGGAAAATTATTTTTTAAATATTTCTGAATTTCGAATTAAATATTTAAAAAATCGGACGACTATATCATATAGGTGCCATAGAAACGATCGGAAAATGAATGCGAAAGTAATAGGAAACAAGAAAGGAACCCTTGCAGATCATTCCTATTAATTAACAAATCGCAAAAATGTTCAATTAATTTCATTAATCTCATTAATTTTCCGATCGTTCCTATGGCAGCTATATGATATAGTCGTCCGATTTTGATCAAATTAAAATTGAAATTCGGAAATATTTAAAAACAGTCATATCCTAGAGTAGAAGATAATACAATAAAAACCAAAGAAGCTAGAATTTATTTCCTATTACTTTTCCATTAATTTTCCGATCGTTCCTATGGCAGCTATATGATATATTAGTCCGATTTTTTAAATATTTAATTCGAAATTCAGAAATATTTAAAAAATAACGTCCCCAAAAGTAGAAGGTAATATTTCAAAAAACAACGAAGCTAGAATTTTTTTAACGTTTTCTTTTCCGATCCTTCCTATGGGAGCTATAAGATATAGTTGTCCGATCCGGTTGGTTCCGACATATATACTACCTGCAATAGAAAGAAGACTTTTGGGAAAGTTTCATCCCGATAGCTCAAAAACTGAGAGACTAGTTTGCGTAGAAACAGACAGACGGACAGACGGTCAGACGGTCAGACGGACAGACGGACAGACGGACATGGCTAGATCGACTCGTCTAGTGATGCTGATCAAGAATATATATACTTTATGGGGTCGGAAACGTCTCCTTCACTGCGTTGCAAACTTCTGACTGAAATCATAATACCCTCTGCAAGGGTATAATAAATGTTAGCTTCTTTGGTTTTTATTGTATTCTCTTCTACTCCAGGATATGATTTTTTTTAATATTTCCGAATTTCAATTTTAAAATGATCAAAATGGGACGACTATATCTTAAAGTTGTTATAGAAACGATCAAAAATGAATTGGAAATTAATTGGAAACAAATTATAGCTCCGTTGGATTTTATTGTATTCTAATCTAGGATAAGTTTTTTTCCAATATTTCAGAATTTTTAATTAAATTTAACAAAAATCGAACGACTATATACATAGCTGCCATAGGGAAAAATAGAAAAAATAATGTCAAAATATTACGAAATTAAAAAATTTTTGCGATTTGTAAGTTAATAGGAATGAACCTTAACCTATTTGCCCTAGCCCTATTTTGTTGTTCTAAGCCATCAAATTGACCTGAAACAAAAAGGATAAACCGGTCCTTTGGATATATTTTTACAAAACTTTAATTCAAAGTTCAGATAATTAAAATTGAGAAAAAACAAATTTTTAAATATCTCCGCCAACATTAATTAAAAAATCGTTTTAAATACTTCCTCTTTAGCACGCCGAAAATATACTACAGTCCTTCTCGAGCTTCAAGCTGGAGGACGTGCGGCAGAGTGGCAGCGACAATGCCAGCGAGGCGGGCCAAGCAATGGAGGTGGACGAAGAGGCCGTTGATTCAGCGGCGGTGACCGCCGTGGTTAAGGCGAACCACTTCTTCGCCAAGTTCCTGACCAATCCAAAGCTACTGGCACTGCAACTCTCCGACGCCAATTTTCGACGTGCTGTTCTGGTGCAATTCCTCATTCTGTTTCAGTACCTTCAAGTCAGTGTAAAGTTTAAAATGTGAGTAAAATAATAAATCAAAAGTAATCAAGATATTCCTAAAACACTGGTACTTTCAGTGACACTTACACCTTAACCACAGACCAGGCGGACTTCATCAAGGAAACAGAGTCTCGTGTCTACAAGCTGCTAGAAGAGACACCGCCGTACGGCAAGCGGTTTTCTCGAACTGTGCACCACATGCTTGTGCGCGAGGAGATGTGGAATAATTGGAAGAACGAGGGCTGCAAGGAGTTTAAAAAGCCGGAGGAGCCGGCCGCTAGCGAGGAGGACTCAAAGCCACCCCCTTCTAAGAGACCAAGACGTCCCTTGGGCGACGCCTTGCGCGATGCTGCCCGCAATGGAAAGTTCTTCTTGGGAAAGTAAGTACCAAGTGGTCTAGCTAAATCATAATGCTAAAGTTATACCTCTCCAGTGACAACCTAACCCGTCTATGGAACTACTCTCCGGATAATCTGCAGGCCTGCAAAAGCGAGCAGCGTAACTTCCTGCCGCTCCTGGAGACATATTTAGAGACGCCGCATGAGAAGGTCGACCCCGCCTTTGAGTGGCGAGCATTGCGTTTACTTGCCCGCCAGACTCCTCATTTCTTTACCTCGCTCTCTCAGCCATCGAGCAAAATCTCCGATTATCTGGAGCAAGTGCGCAAGCGTCTCATCCGGGATAAGGAGCCCAAGCCGGCAGCTCTGCTATCCAGCAACTCTTCGGAGAACAGTTTTGGCCTGACGGTCAACCATGTCCATGCGGAAGGAGAGCAGGATGCCACAGTGGCTCTCCAGGACGCCGAACCAGAGCAGGATCTCGAGGTGGAGGACAACGAGCCAGTGGTGGAGGAGGTGGACGAGGTGCCAGCTCACGAAAAGCCCCTCATGGTGACCAAAGAGCACATCCAAGAGGTGGCGCCTCTGATTGGCGAACCCTGGATGAAGGTGGGCAAGAAGATTGGCTTCACCAACGACGAACTGCTCTTCTTCCAAATGGAGCACCCCACCGCCAACGTGGCCTGCGTCCAAATGCTGACCAACTGGATCTCCGATGACGACGACGCAACCCTGGACAACTGGGCGTACATGCTTGAGGGATTGGAAATGAATAAGGCTGCCGACGCTGTGAAGGCCATTATTGAGCGCGAAAAATCGGGATCTACTGCCGCGCCAGCCGTGCCTCTGGCCTCCGACAACGACGTGGAGGTGCTGTCCGATTAGCATGACCATGCCCAACCCACCACCCTAGTTATAGGCTACTTTAGATTCGTTCCAATCATCAAACTTCTTTATCACAAGTAAAAGTATGGGCATGTTCACTGTTATCAACCAGAGATCAGCTAGTACCGATTCCCAATCACCAATCAACGCCTCTTCGGCGGGGGACCATTCCGGGGCTTGTTGTGCACCATGTTGGCGCACTTGGGGATGTGCCGCTCGGCGGCCTGTTGGTTGAATCGACGTCCACAGTGCGGGCACTGGATGTAGTCGGCGTTTTCCGAGGGCGGCGGCGGCGGCAGGTCGCTCAGCTTGCCGCCGCGGGCCAAGTGCGCTTGAACCTGCTTGGCGGCCCGTATCGACTGGATGAACTCCTCGTGCTTCTTGCGCCAATTGTTCTTCTTCACCCCAGTGCTCAGGCCCTTCTGCTGGGCAGCACTACTGTACGTGGACCGAGTGCGGCTGCCCTTCGGCTTCTTGTTGAACTTCTCGGCTTCGGTGCCTTCGACCCGCTGTTTGGAGGCGTCGAAGATCTTGCGTTTCGTGGCTATCATGCGTTGGCACACCGCCTCGTGCTTTCCCAGGCGATCCGTGTTAAAGTGGCGTCCGCAATGCCTGCACGAAGCCGTTCCCTCTGGGGGCGTCGACTTGATCTCCTGGAAATAATAGTATGTATATTAGTTATCCCGTCAACTATTCTAAGGTACTCACCATGTTGACCTGTTTAGCTGGGGATTTGGGCTCCGACTAAACCGGGAAAGAAGATATGTATGTATAAAAATTTGTTCAAAATAAGTTTGGCATATGATTGACAATACCGTGCCTGGTTGATTGTACTCACCCGTCGAACCACCGGCGGCGAAAGGCGACTGGCCACCGTGGTGGCACCACCGGCCAGCCGAGTAGACGTCTGCACCTTGGGACTGCGCTGTGGCGAGGACATGGATCGTTGCGAGAGCGTCGTCTCCTGGGCAGGCGGCGTCTTTCGGGTCACCACAGGCTTGAGGTTCCGATTCACAGTGGTCCGAGGGGTGGGGGTGGCGAACTTGTTGTTATTGCTGTCGCTGGTAATGCGCCTGCTGGCGTTGGGAGCATCCCTTAGGTTCATGTCGGAAACTCCCTTGATCAGCCGCTGCATCGGCGGCTGGGGGCGGGATTTGGCTGGGGCGGGCGGCGAGGTAAGTGTACCGATCGGCTTGAGGGGATTGCTGCGATCAATGCCCGCTCCTCGGCGACGCTCGTCGAACATCTGGCGAACTTTCCCGTTGCCAATCAGCCTGGTGGTTGCCGCACTGGGCGCTGCAGTGGTCAGGTTCTCAACAGTTGTCTTCGTGCCCATTAGCTCCCGTCGACGCACCTGCTGCGTCCGCTGCTGAAAACGCATCTGGAAAGAAAAGTTTTAAACATTTTTTGATAGCGATAACGTTGCTAAAAGTGCAAGGGAAATGGGATCACTTTAGATTAGTTGAATTATATTTTTGGGTTCTCTCATACTCTTGTCAAATAAATATACGGTTGTAAAAGGTTTAAGTTCAGTTATACGATAGGATCTAAATGATTTTATTAAAATATAAGATAATCGTTAGTTCTTATAAATTTCCTAGTTCTTATAGCTTCAAAAATATAAAATTTATTAAAAGAAAAAATCTTTTTCGTATAGCAACACTACTAAAGTATTAAGCTAACTTTTTAGAACAGATCCAGATAGTGTGTTGGATCATAATTCCAAGTTTGAATTTAACGTATCGGGTAAAAAAATCCAAACCGCTGTCGTTTAAAACAATTTGGTTCATGTTTTACATAGTACTCCTGTATTGTCAACCATTTTTGGAATTGCAATATTTCCATATTTTTCTTACGGGTGCAGAGTTAGTGCTGCCGCTGCCACTGGGTGGCAAATGACTCAGAGCCTCCATGAGGCGCCTGGCCGCCCAGGACTCGTTCAGCTTCAGGGGCAGGATGTGATCCTGGCCAAACTCCGACTCGAAGTCGTACTGGGGGAACTCTCCGTCGTCGTCCTCGTCCCCGTCCGCTGGTTGCAACATTCCGGGCCGGAGAGCGCGTGTCAACTGAGCGAACGGGAACCGGACATTAGCGCGTCCATTTCCCCCGAGTGGAGTCATTAAGTGCACAGGTTTCAGTGTGTGTTTGTGCTCTGTTTGCTTGTCTATTCTGGCGATGAGGAGGTGTCACCCCCAGAGCCTCCCTCTTCTGCCTCCTCCCTGCGAATAAATCCGTGCCCACTTACGTGCCGCCAGTACATAAAACCCCTTGCCACACGACCCGCCTGGGCGAAGGAAACCCTATCCTGTCCCCGGGAATGGGTCGTGGGCATGGGTGTGGGTGTGGGTGTCGGTGTGGACGTGGTTGTGGGCATGCTCCTCCCGTTCTTGTCCCTCGAAATACCCCTTCTCTTAGTGCGCTTGTCTTCTGCCTCTGGTGTCCTGGTGGTGGCCTTCGAACTCAGCCATGGCCACCTGGCAAGTTGTCCAAAGCGAAAAAATGGTCTTTGTGAATATCGGACACTCGAGAAATCCTAGCTGGCTGTCCTTTTGTTTAGCCAGCCATTTGTTTTTGTTGTTATTGGCTTGCAGCAATAACAACAAAAAATCAATGAATGCATCGTTGCCAGGACACGGGCCACATGGGATATACACACACCCGCCTCGAGTCCCCTCCCCCAAATGCCCAGCAATTGTTGAATGCCGCCAAGGAAGAGCGACGACCAGGTGACAAAGGACCTTAGCATTGTCCTTTGCCCGCCCGCCCTTTCAGCGATTAAAATCGCGCGCTACTATTTTCCTGGGTAAATTTTTTGATTGATGAATTATTATAGTTGGATGAATGGACACTCGGAGAAAAATCGGAAGGTATACCTAACAGAAAAACAATAATAAGTAATAAGCTAATAATCATTACCTTTTTTTAATAATTTGTGATACTCAAAACCCCAAAATACGTAAAGAATTTATATCGGAATGATGATATATCCTACAGCTTCTATTGGCTTACTAAATTTGCACAATTTTGGATTATATTGGAAAAATAATCAAGCTACAATAACATATATGTCATAGGAGAAAATAATAGTAAACAAATAGAAAGTATGCAGCTGTAAGAATATCAAAACTTCAGCTTACCGAAGTTTTTTTTATTTTTTTCGATTTCTCTCAGTGCTAATAAGCATTATTAATAATTTGCGTAATACTATACATAAGCGGGCTCACCCCCGAAATTAGCGAAAAAATTATCCTCAATGGACCGCGATTTCTTAAGAATTTACGTGCAAAAAGAATTCGGCGGTCGGCCATGGTTCTCTTGTAATTGAATTTCAAAGTTCCCGGGTTTGCTATAAAAAACAAGTATGCTTTTCTAACGTTTGCTATAAAAATCATATATGTATATATGTACCCTTTTCCTTTTTTGTCAAAATAAGACTAATTTAAAATTCCAAACATCTGAGTAATTGGTATTATAGGGAACTAGTCCTCACAACCGCGTAAAAATGATCCTCGATGGACAGCGAGTTCTTAAGAACTCTCATAACCATGGATGAGCACATGTGTATTTTTATTATGATAATCAGAAGAAATCGCGGTCCAAGGAGGATTATATATTTTAACCTTTCTTTTAGTCTTTTCCACCCAAAACTAAACTTAAAGATTGAATTTGTATTTTCTGAGCGACACACCAACCCTAATTCAGCTAAAACTACTATCTTAATATTGAAAAAAAAAACTGCGCGATTTTTTCTTAAATTTTTTTTGCCTGCGGCGCAGTCTTTTTTTAAATTTCTTTTTTAAACGCACTTCTTTCAAATACTTCTTATTCGGGAATACTTCAGCAGAGAGATATCTAGGCCATAAAAGGTTATTAAAGAAAACACCTGGAACTTTACCTCAATGGTGGTGCGGAAAAGTGTTCATTAAAACTTTTAATTTAAAACAATAGAGAACGCTATAGTCGGGTTGGTGTCCCGACTATCTAATACCCGTCACTCAGCTAAAGGGAGTGCGAACGCTGTGTCGGGTTGGTGTCCCGACTAATAATCGTAACTCAGCTAAAGGGAGTGCGAGGGAGATAGATATATGTTGACAATTTATAAAGCGTATAACTTTTTAATGAATGGTCCGATTTGAAAAATGTCTTCTACATTTCGATAGGTATAAATAAACACAACAAAATTGCATTTATACTTCTCGGAAATCTTTAAAGATGTGGGCGCAGGACCCATTTTAAAATCGTTAGTGGGCGATTGTGGGCGTTAGAGGGGGCGTGGCGCTCGGCTAAAATAAACTTGCGCTGCGTAGGAAGCCAAAGAATATGTGTGGGAAATCTCAACCTTCTAGCTTTTGTAGTTTCTGAGATCTCAGCGTTCATACAGACGGACAGACAGACAGACGGACAGACGGACAGACGGACAGACGGACAGACGGACATGGCTAGATCGACTCGGCTAGTGACCCTGATCAAGAATATATATACTTTATGGGGTCGGAAACGCTTCCTTCTAGCTGTTACATACTTTTGCACGAATCTAGTATACCCTTTTACTCTACGAGTAACGGGTATAAAAATTCTACATTTTTTTTATAGGAACTCATTTAAACAATTAAATAATTTTATAGGAACTCATTTAAACAATATATTAATTTTATAGGAGTTCATTAAAACTTAATTACTTTGGTTGAAAATATGAGAAAAGCACCCTTGTTTTTTATAGCAAACCCGGGAACTTTGAAATTCAATTACAAGAGAACCATGGCCGACCGCCAAATTCTTTTTGCACGTAAATTCTTAAGAAATCGCGGTCCATCGAGGATAATTTTTTTGCGAATTTCGGGGGTGAGCCCGCTAATGTATAGTATTAACATAATTTGTAATACAAAACACAGAAATTTATATCGGAATGAAAGCTTCTATTGGCTTACTAAATTTGCATAATTTTGGATTAAATTGGAAAAAGAATCAAGCAACAATAATATATATGTCATTCGAGAAAATAATAGTAAACAAATTTAAAGTTTGTTGATTCATATCATATTTTCCTCTATTTACTCTGTAATTCTATTCCACATAAGTATGCAGCTGTAAGAATATAAAAACTTCTGCTTACCGAAGTTGTTTTTATTTTTTTTGATTTCTCTCAGTGCTATAAGCATTATTGCGTTCTTAATGTCAACCCTTTTTGGATATTGAGTGGCTAATACAGTGACGCAGTTTAGCTAACACTAATTACAGCTAATAGAGGGGAAAATAATGTACCCCTTCTGTGCTGTCGACGCCTCTGTTCGCCACAAACAGATGGCATTCAAGAAGCGCCTTTTCATTCGTTGCGGGGGCGACAAAAGTTCTCATTACCAAATATGAGCAGCGGCGAATACAAATCAATTAGCTGGCATTTCGCTGGGGAACTTCAGCGAGAGCCCCCGAAATAGAACTCCACCAAAAGAACCAGACCGTTTACGGAACATCACGGAAATTAATCTACTTTAATTGGAACTGGCTTGCATTGGAGCTACTCTTTTAGAGATGGCGCCAAAACTAATTATGAGCAAATACACAGTCTTTGTTGTTTAAATAAATATTAAATTTTCAGAATTTGATCTTAAGAAAGGCGGCTATCAGCTTTGGTAACTTTGTGGCTTGATATATTTTTGATGAAAAAACTGGTTTGTCACTATCGGCGTAAGTCATTTTTAAATGGTGCAATGCTCGAAAAAAAAACAACTTTGCTTCTTGAGACCCACTAGTTTTACTAGAAATTAGATGTCTAAAAATAGACTCTCTAAATCACTATTGACTCTCACCTGCATTTGCGCCAGCCTTGAAGTCTTCATCTCTCCGGAACCTTGTGACGCCATCGCCAAATGGAGTTTATTCAATTCGCTTCCAGTCGCTTGAATTCGATGCGATTTGCTGCGATGCTCGTGTGTGGGCTCGGGCCAAGGTGATGACGCGACTGAGCTGGGCTCAAAGTGTTTGGATAGCGCAGACTCGGCTCAGACTCGGATTCAGACTCAGACTGGCCGGTGAGTCACGCAAGTTGGCACAAAAAAAACAAAAAGCGGCAGCAGCAACAGGCAACAGCAGCAATAAATGTCGCCAGGAGGCGGCTGTAGATGTGGATGTGGATAGGTGGGGATGGGGTTGGACGTGGGTGCCAATCTGGAAGTGGAAGTGGAAGCTGTTAAAACCGTGCCCAGATCAAGTCCCAGACCCAGACTTAGACTAACAATTGTGGGCCGATGGTCGCTCCTAATACGGTGCGATCAATGAACAAGCCAATCCAATTGAATTCACTTTAACTCGCCAAAAACGTACAAGATTCGATGAAAGCGAACGCTTATCGCTACGTGTATTTATAAAACTACAAATCTGGACCGAAATAAACTCGCGAAAGGAAGGAGGGACGTGTGTTTGAAATTTGTCAGTTTATCTTAATAACAATATGCTGCCGAATATTTGAAATGCTTTCGTACGATTAAATGGAATTTTGCCTGACAAGTAAATAGAGACAGAGAAATTCAACTGACTGGATAAGCAGGGTGCTTGTACTAATGTGGATATAACAAACATTACTCAGCCTAAGTTTAAAGATAATACAAGCAGCGTTGTGTTTTTTAAGTTATTCAGCCCTAAAGAATTTAATAGTCAACCAAATTTTAAATTCCCTATTAATAATAATAATATTTTAATAATAATTTAATATTTTAAGCCCAGAATTAAGAATCATGAATACCTTATTTCAATGACATTTAGGTTTTCATTCATAATACTTTAGTTAATATTAATCCACAAAAATGAAATTATTAGGAAATTATGATTTATTAGCGGTATTGTTATTTTCCCAAACATAAAACAGATCATCATATCATATTAATATTAATACACAAAAATGAAATTATTAGGAAATTATGATTTATTAGCGGTATTGTTATTTTCCCAAACATAAAACAGATCATCATATCATAAAAATATTTATGATGTCAATTTCGAATATATACTTCAGTAATTGTTATTGAAAATTATAATATTCAACGTATTCAGAGAAAGGTGTGACTTTCTTTAACTTATTATATTTTTATCCGCTCTTTGTCTAGGGTGTACAATAACCGACTACTCCTTGTCGCTCCGC